ATTGTGGATTTGAGTTTTTCTATTCTGCTTATTTCTTCGTGCAGGCCATGGATTCTGCCATTTGGTCTCTATTAGTTTGTTTAAGATTCTGATTTTTCTCTTGAACCATTCAGATACATCCTGCTGGGGGGTTCCATGCTTTTTTGGGAATCCACAGGGTTCTTGGTTTCATCTGGTTGTTGTTCAAATGTTGTTTATCATTATTGGTTCAATTTCCTTTGCTTTGCAACATTTATTTAGAACCATCTTCCCTTATGTTTTGCTATTTTCTCTGTTGACTTCTCTGCTTGTTCTCTTGGTTTTTCTTTGTATTTCCCTATTACTTATTTTCTTCCTCTTCCCCTTCGATGGTGAATCCCCAGGAGCTGGACTTCTGAGTTATGTTTTCTCCTTTGTTGGGAAATTCACTTTTCACTGGCCACAGTTCTTTTTCTAAGCAACTTTTAAGGGGACAGGATTGGCCTCAGCTAAATACCAGCAACCTTTCCTTCATCCCTGGTGCAGCCCTCATACACATGATGGCACCCCAATTCCCCTATTTTTTAGTTCTGTGAATGACCACTTCTGCCTTAGGTCTTCTTATACCTCTTCCTCCACAAGTGGGTGGGAAGAATTGAAATCTGGTTGTTGTCACAGAATAGTAGGGTAAGGAGAAGGGAAGGATGTGGCAGCAGTGAAATTGCTCAGTTAGTCCTAGAGTAATGGATGGGGTGCTGGGTGTGCACATTGGAAATTAGTATTCTCTGCTGTTAATTCACAAAGCTGTTAGTCTATTAGGCTTCTGGGCGTTTGGCCCATGGAGAGAGCTAATTTGTCCTATCTCTTTTGGAGAGTTGTTGAGAGTATTCTTGTCCTCCATCTTGCTGGCTGTCTGACCTGGAGATCTACTATTCGTTATAATTGTGACTTTGAGTGACCCACTGAATCCATCTGGGCCTCAGTTTCCTCATCAGTAAAATGAAGGGCTTGAATTTGCTGCCTAAGTACCTCTCTGATTTTGGACACGTCACTTAATTTTTCTAGGCTTCAGTTTCCTCATTAATAAAATGAAGGAATTCAACTTGATGGCAAATAAAGTCTTTTCCAGCTCAGAATCTGATTGGAAGTAAATTAAAATCTTTCCAATCCTTAAGATAAGTTTGACATCCTATTGTAGTTTTAGCCTATGTGTCTCTTACATGTAACACCAAGCACAGCCAGCTCTCTGAACAAAGAAAGTGTTGGCTGGTTATTAACTGATTTAACTGTAATCAATAAGGGAGTTATTTCAGGATTAGAAAAAAAAACCAGCCTGTTTACCATAAGGCTCACATTTGATAATGAATACTTTTCTTGTTAAGAGCAGAATTAGATAAGAGCTTTCAGGAATTTGAAAGTGATTTATCGGTCTACTGACTCATGTCAAAGAGCACATTCTTGTGGATCATTAAAATTCTGAAGCCGCTGTGTCTTAGTAATCTATTAATGTTTGTGACATATGCAGCCTTGGCCCGGACTCCACATTCCCTTTATTTATTTATTTATTTATTTTTGGGTGACTGCTTTTTTAACATTTTCATCTGTGCTCTCTTTTCCCTGCCTTCTCTACCTAACTCTTTGCATCTCTACCTAACTCCTACTTCAGTGATCTCCAAGGCAACCCTCCTCCCCCCAGCCATTGGGCCATAGCACAATGCCGAGAGATAACCAATTAGAATATGGCTAAAATTCCTCTACCTGTTAGATAGGAAGGCTTGTCTCCAACTCGGCTCCACTTGCCCTTTACCCATTATCACCTAACACTTTCCCCACTGTGCCCTCTATAATGGCTATGCAAACTCCCAACTTCTCCTGTTCTTTGCCAGGCATATACCCCATAATCTTGGTGACTGAAGATCCTGCCCCACTGTTGGCTTTTGATGGGATACAGCAACTAGCACAAGCTACTTGAGCAGGTATGGATGGGTTGCTGATCTGCCTCACTGATCTCATTCTCTTTACCCACCCCTCTTGCCAACTTCCCTAAAATAGGGAACCACAGCCTACTTCTGGTCACCCAGTTCTGAAAACTCTGTATTATTCCTGACTCCTAACTCTCCTTTAATGCACATATCCAATTAGTTGCCAAGCTTTGCTGATTCTACTTCTACATCTATCCCATCCATTCCCTTTACTCCAGTTTCATAAGCCACCCTTCCCATTGAGGCCACCATCTTTGCTGCACTCTGACAATAGCTCCTAACTGGTCTCCTCTTCTAGTCTCTCCCTACTCCAATCCAGCCTCCTGACAGCTGCCAAATAGATATTCCTAAATGTCAAATTCTAGCTGTCACTCCCCTTTTTAATGACCTCCAATGGTTCCTTATCAGCTAAAACAATCAAGTATTATTTCATCGTTATCTCAATCTTTTGTTGGTTTTTCCAAACTCTTGACAACTTTACTTCCATTCTGGTGGAGAGGAATGAGCGAACATTCTCCACCAATGAAGGATATTGATTCAGTAATACCTGTATATAAGCAACAAATAAGGAAATATACATATATGTGTGTGGATGTATATATGGGATGTACAGGATGTTTAGGGAGGATTAGCATCTCTGTTGTAAGGGCTTGCCCAGCCCTTTTCAGAGCTGCTCATCTGCCTTTGGTGTGCACCTGGCATTCAACTCTCGGACCCGTGACTCCAAGAAGCCCTGAGTCTGGTTGCGCAGCAGCCATACTCCAATAAACAATCTCAGCAGACAGGCCAAATCAGGTTGAAGGTAAGTAACCAACAGACCTCAACCCCATCGATGCCTTAGTGAGGTGTCTACTCCAAGCATGTGAAGGCTTCCCCCAGTGGAACAGGCAGACGAAAACAGTTTGTTCCAATGGCCGTAAAGGCTGCTGAAGCAGGCGGTGTGGAGTGCTCAGAGCTTGGTCTGACATGAAGAAGACAGGGTTATCCACTGCAACTTCGATGACTCTGGAAGAGAGAGTGAGGCTGATAACTTTGTGGAACTCAGCTTCACTTAAATCCAATTTATAAGTGAGTCAAGACATTATCCATGATGTCACTGGGCCTCTTCGAAAAGGAAGAGCAAACAACAGCTACCACAATATTTGGATATGTCAGGGGTGCGTGATCAAAAGTTGGAAGACCATCGTTTTATTTCAGGGAGGGTGTCTTCTTGGCCTCATTTGTACTAGGTTCTTTGTTTCCTTCTGTTCTTCCCTCTGTTTTAACCAAAATGTCATTGATAAGAAAGAAAACACAAATATCATTGAATAAAATGAGTTTTACATTTGATAAAATCATACTTCCCTTTTAGGTTCTCTTTTAAGTGAGGCAGTTGGGGTTAAGTGACTTGCTCAGAGTCACACACCTAGTAAGTGTTGTGTGTCTGAGGCTGGATTTGAACTCTTTTGTATTTTTTAATTGGTAATTGATGTCACAATAGAAAATATCCTTTATGTGACTTCCTTTTAGAGCCACCACCTGTTATCAATCTATACAGCAGGACACTGGCCATGGAGGGAAGAGTAAACATCTGTACACATTGTAAAATTTAATTTAAAAAAAAATTGAAAAACCCGTTGGTTGCTGAACAAAGGGCTGAGCTGCTTGAGGGCCCTAAGGTTGCAGCACTAGCAATTTCTCTGCTTCTCTGGGGGATATGTATGACCTCAGGTTCACCTTCCACGCAATTGCACTCCAAACACAAGACAGTGGAGTCAGCGGTAAAAAGTACTTTGTTTTGTACAACTTCCAGTGAAAAATCTTTGAGACTTGACTGCAGGCCGCATTTCTTGAGCTGGGGGTGAAATTAATTATGTAGTTGGGGGAGCATAACAGAATCAGCTCTTTGAGAGTCAGGAAGCGACCTTCATGTGAACTCCTGGGTTTCATATAACCAGGATTGGGAAACAGTGTCACCTGGTGGACACCCCAGAACTTAACCAAAGGCCCCACTTGGAAATCAAAAAGCCTTTTTACATCCCCAAATCACAGATTCTTTTTACTCCCAAGGGAGTGGAGGGAGGCAATGCAGCTGAATTTCTGTCTCCCTCAAGGGAGGCATGCTGTGCAACCTGCTCATCTTCTTACTTGTCATCCCTACTCTCCAACAATCAATCATTTATTAAGCTCCTACTATGTGCCAGGCGCTGGGGATACAAAAAGAGGCAAAAGACAGTCCTTGCCCTCAAGGAGCTTACAATCTAATAGGGGAGACCACAGTCAATCAATCAACATTTACTAAGCGCCTACTATGTGCCAGGTAGCTGGAAATACAAAGAGGCAAAAGACAGTCCCTAACCTTTGGGAGTTTACAATCTAACGGGGAGATAACAATCCATTAACGTGCATTAAGCTCCTACTATGTGCCTGGCTAGGGTAACTAGATGGGGCAGTGGATTGAGTGAGTGAAGGAAGTCAAGAAGACTCATCTTCCTGAGCTCAAATCTGACCTGAGACGTTGACTATCTGTGTGTGGGGGTTCAACTGATAGCTTTTATGGGGAAGATAATGAATGGAGCCATTTATTGAAACAGATTGTGTGTCACTCATACTAGATCTAGCCAACGCCTATTTCAAGGTGATATCTCCCTGACAATATGGGCTACTAAATTATATTTAAGTCCCAATCCAAAGTTAATACTCACTAGGTAAAAGAATACAGAAACTTAGAAGTACCTCAGCTTATAATTTTAAATATACCTAATAATAAATTTAAATATACCTATTTAAATATAATTTTAAATATACCTATTTAAATATACCTAGATATAAATATTTAAATATGCCTAAATATACCTAATCTTAAATATTAAATATACCTAAATACACCTATTAAAAATAAATATAATTTTAAGTATACCTATTTAAATATACCTATTAAATTAAATATTTAAATATACCTATTTAAATATCGTTTTCTGAATTTTCACCATTTTTTATGAAGACCAAAGGACCACACGCCTGCCACTCCTGACCTCTCTGACCTTGACCATGCCACTGCTTCAAGTTTTGTTAAACGAAATGGGTTGGACGAGATGTTTTCCCAGGCGCCTCTCCGCAGCCAGAGGCGTCCCTTTCTCTGTGCCTCCGCTAAGGGCTCTTCCCCAGCCCGGGGCTGAGCCTGGTCCAGCCAGCTGCGCGCCGGAGGGAGGCCGGGGCGCACGCGCGGACGCCGAGAACGGCCGGCGGGCGGTGCTGCAGTACCATAGCCCGGCCCCAGCAGGCGCGGTGGCGCTAGACCTCGCTCGCCCTGCCCCGCGCAGACCCTCCTCCCGGCTCAGTCCTCGGCGGCCGCGTCTCTCGGAGAGTGCCGGGGCTGCGTGAGTGCCTGGCTCCCGTCGCCAGCCGGCAGCAGCATGTGGCGGGCGGCCGGGGCCGCGTTCCGGGGCTTGTCGCGCTTCGGGCGGCGGCCCCTCCGGGCCCTGTCGGCGTCCGCCCGCGGCGCCCCGGGGGCGTGACGCTGACCGTGACGCCCCCCGTGGGCCTGGCGGACGAGCCGCTACACATCCAGGCGCGGGGCTTGAGCCCCGGCGAGCCCGTGACCGTGCGGGCGCTGGCCGTCAGCTACTACGGCCGCCTCTTCCAGTCGTGCGCCCATTACGAGGCCGACGGCGTCGGCGCGCTGGACCTGACCAGGGACCCCTCCCGGGGCGGGGACTACACGGGCGTGGAGCCCATGGGGCTGCTGTGGAGCCTGGCCCCGGCCGGCATGGAGAACCCCTACGTCCGCATGGTGCAGCGCAGCGTGCTCAAGAAGCCGCTCCGGCTCGAGGTGACCGTGCACCAGGCGCACAACCAGACCGGGCTGCTGCTGGGCCAGCTGCTGGCCTCGGCCCGGGTGGAGCGCTGGTATGCCACCCCGCAGATCCGGGCCATCAGGGTCCGCGAGGGCTCGGTCAGGGGCTCCTTCTTCCTGCCGTCAGGTGCGTGAGCCCGTGGTCGCCTCTTCAGCCCTTCCCACGCCAGGCAGGATTTGATTAGATTTTGTTTTATTAGGATGTCGCACAGCAGGGCTTTCTCGGACCCCCCCCCCCCAACGCAATCCGATGCAGTTAACGTTTTTTAGGTGCAATGGGCTGGGGATGCCTAGGCAAGACCTTCCTGCCCTCTAGGTGTTTTCTTTCTACAGAGGAGTAAATAGTTATAGAGCACTTTCAAGGTTTCAAGCGCACATCACAAACATAAATCAACATTTATTAAGTGCCTACTGTGTGTCAGGCTATATATAGGATAAATAGGAAATAATTTAAAAAAAATCAGTAAGCATTTATGAAGCACCTACTGACTGCTTTCTCTCTTAATTATTTTCTATTTAGGTTGTCTATAGATTGCTTTGCATATATGTGCAGGTTGTGTCCTCCATTAGATTGTAAGCTCCCTGCGTGCAAGGGCAGTGTTTTGCCTCTTTCTGGTAGTGCTTAGCACAGTATCTGGCACAAAGTTCAGTTCCCTTAAAACTGGGGGATGTTAAAAGGGGCAAAAGACAGCCCCTTTTCTCAAGGAGCTTACAGTAGGGCAGACAAAGCAAGCTATATACAGGAAGAATAGGAAATAAATAAAAGAGGGAAACCAATCAGGCAACATTTATTAAGCTCCTACTATGTGCCAGGCACTGTGCTCAGTGCTAGGAATACAAAAAGAGGCAGAAAACAGTCCCTGCTTTCAAGGAGCTTACAATTCAATGGGGGACACAACATGCACATAAATATATACAAAGCAATCTATATACAGGATAAATTGGAAATGATTGACAGAGGGAAAGCATTGGAATTAAGAGGAGTTGGGGAAGGCTTTGGGTAAAATGTGGGATTTTAGTTGGGGACTTAAAGGAAGCCAGGGAGGTCAGTAGTCAGAGTTGAGTTCCGGATGATCCTCACAAAATGAGGATAAATAATAGCACCTATTTCCTAGGTATTTTCTCCATTCACTTACCTAGGAAATAGGTGCTATTCTTATCCCTATTTTACACATTGAGAAATGGAAGAGTCTGAGGTCAGATTTGAACTGTGGTAGTACTGATTCCAAGTCCAGTACTCTATCCACTACACCACCATTTACACAGTTATTTAAGGAGGAGAAGAGAGTAAGATTGAGGAGAATCAGGAAAGGCTTCTAGGGGGACAGTATACCTGAACTGAACCTGAAGGAATTTAGGGATTCAAATAGGCTGAGAGGAAGAAGGCTTGCAATTTCGTGTGGAGGATGCTTATACATAAGAGCTGAATGCAAAAAGCTGGCCTGCTGTCCTAGCCTGTTTACCGGTCTCTGAAATCAAAGCAGGGAGGAGGAAGCGATCCCTTGGGAGCTGGTCTCTAGGTCTCTGGTTAAATTATTAAATAACATGGGACTCCAGAATGAAGGGGCTGGAGGGCAGGAAAGGGATTAGTCATACATATATATATGTTCTAGTTTGCACTAGAAAGAATAATTTGGAAGCAAGAGAAGTTAGCTCGCCAGTTAGTCAAAAGTATGTGCAGCTGAAAAGGATCTTAGAGGTCATCTAGTTGAATTCCTTTATTTTACAGATGAGGAAACTGATTAAGTGATTTATTCCAGGTCACAGAGGTAGTGAATGTCAAAGCCAGGATTCTGTCTCACATATTCTAAAAACCAGGTCCAACATGCATTCCAGGCACCACTACCTTTCCTGCATGTGACATTTACATAACGTTAAGTCTAACAGTTTAGAAAATAATTAAACCTTTTTCTTTGGCATAAAGTTCCATTCCCTTCAAGAACTAAACAAAACATTGAGTTTGGAGTTTTGAGAACCTAAATTAAAATCCTACTTTGTTCCTTACTGCCTGCTAATCACTGGGCCTCTTTCCGCATTTGTAAAACGAAAAGATTGAACAAGATCTGATTCTCAAACTTTTTTCTAATCACAGCACAACATTCTTTGCTGTGAGAAGTCGTGGCACACTAAATGTTTTAAGTTGGCAACAAGGAAGGGTTCCAGACCTGTTATCCAGGACTTGGGCTTCCTTGACTCTCGTAAGAGGCAGCTAAGTGTCTCAGTGGGTAGAACGTTGGGCCTGCAGTCAAGAAGACCTGAATTCAAATTCAGACCCACTATGACCTCAGGCAAGTTACTTAACCTCTGTTTGCCTCTGTTTGCCTCAGTTTCCTCAACTGTAAAATGGTGATCACATTAGCATCTACCTCTCAGAGTTCCTGTGATGATCCAATGAGATAACATTTGCAAAGATAGTTGCCATAGAATTGCTAGCTGTCGTTCCTTTTATTAACTCTTCTCTACCCCATCACTTTCTCCTTTTTTTGTTACTTCTCCAAGCCTCTAATCAGAAGAGGCAGCTTTGTGCCTGCGTGGATAGAGCTGCTGTCGTGACCTTCTTGACACCAAGCTAGGAAGAACAGGCAGCAAACTGCAGCTGGCTGTAAGGAGCTGAGAAATGTGGAGGACTCGGGTGGAGGGAGGAGCCTTGAGGCATACCCTCTGAGAATCGCTGGGCTGGACCCCTTTAACTCTAAATCAGTGGTGCTTTAAAGAGAACGAGTGGAGATTTTTTGGCAAATCCATCTGTTTGTTGATCCCATTGACTTGGGGGAGTAAGCCTTTTTTCCTTTTAGTTATGTGCTTCTATAATAAGAATAAAGCACTATAAATGTTAACTCATTTTATCTTCACAGCAGCCTTGGTAGGTAGATGCCATTTGACAGATGAGGAAATTGCAGTTAAGTGATGTGATCTAAAAAATAACTGTCTACGTAGCCTTTCACATCTTGTGCAAAACTAGACATTTTAAAATTACTTTTTAAATATTTTCTTTCAGAATAGCTCAAAATAAGGTATTTATTTCAGTCAGAATTCCTTCCAATCAAAATAGAGATCGAAGAGATTGGAAACATAAAAGAGTAGTGATGTTCTAGCAAGAAGGTAAAGAAAAAGGTCATAGAACTCATCTTTTCATTCCTCCTCTCTCCCCCTCCCCAGTAGATACAATAAGTAAGGGAAAGGTGGAGAGTAAAGGGCCTGCAAAGAGAATATCCTTTCAGAGAACTAAGGAATGAGCAAACATCAGGAAAAAACTCCAGTATGATTATCAAATACTATGGGTTAAAAGATCTAAAGAGAAGACATCAGAAGAAAGTCACAAATTAGCCTCAACAATGACCTAGTTGATGAAGCTGGACCTAACCCAGGACACAGCCGACTGAATAGTAAATACTTTAAAGGAAATGAAGAATAATCTATTGTCAAAAAGGTAGCATCTGGCCTCTCTAATGAGATATCTATCATCAGTAAAAATGGAGTAATTAAAACTTATAAAAGTCAAGGTGGTGGAAATTTGAACGAAGGAGTGGAATCGTTGGGAAATAAAATTCTCAGATTAGAAGGTCCATAAAGGATAGAAAATGAAATAAAACAAGATCAAACAACTAATTGAATTTGAAAGTAGAAAACACTACAAGTAAAGATAATGGAAGATGGAGCTCAGAGAGTTCTGAAAATTATGGGGTTACTGGGAAAAACACACAGAATCTAATCACCATTAAGAAGGAAACTGATCAAGAAAATTTGCCCTAATTAGTAGGACAGTGGGACAAACCTATAGAGTTCACCAGATGTCCTAAAAATAACACATTTAGTTCACCCAGACTCATTGTTAAACCGCTGCAGAGATGCACCAGTAAAGACAGAATCTTGCAAGTGGCTAGAAAGAAAAGCATTAGCTACCATAAGGTACCCTAATTTGTATCTTCCAGAATTTTTTTATCTGATATGGGAGGAAAAAAAACAGCTTGAAAAGCTGGAACATGACTTATTGGATACTTCATGAAATTTACTATCCAACTAAACTAAGAGTAGCTTAGTTTTAACTGAGTGGGGGTGAAATATCACCGGTGTTCCTCAGGTTAAGCAGGATCCCAGAAAGGTTACTACGATTGGCAGCAGTGTCAGTTAAAATGGAAAATTGTTATGTGTGTGTGTAAAATTATTTGGTATAGTATTGTAGATTGTATTTATAGTGTTCTTGATGTTTTAAATGTTAAATGTGTGTGTAAAAAGTTAAGGGTGAAATTGTATTTGATAGACAAACTAGAAGGTTTGCCTTCTACTCAAAGTTTAGTATATACATTCTGCGGTTGTACTTGTAATAACCAAAAATCATGGGAGAACAAGGCAACGAGGGCCTTAACTTAGTTAACAAGTGGCGGAGCTAGATCGTTTTGACTGACAGCTAAAATCACAAAAGAGAATGGAGCAGGATGAGAAAGATCAATAAATTAACAAAAAACAGTCATATACTTAGGTGTTTTTTGTTTGTTTTAAGCAAAGAGAACCATGATCAAGAAGAGGAATTCTTTGATTTTAGACATCTCAGATATTGAGTGAAAAGGGGAGAGTATGGAACAGTTGATGATCTTAGGAAAGGTGAGAGATTGGGGCAGACCCTTAAGTGGGTATGTTTGGTGGGGGGATTCAGGGCTTGGATCTGGCAAATTAATTGACTCAATCTAGAAACTGGCTAGTGTTGTGGGTGTGGGTTGGAGTGTATGTGCAAAGAAAGGGAGCTAGGCTGTGGTGGCCCTCCCCCATAATCCCTGCTCCAGGGAAGGCTGAGGTCAGTAGATTGCTTGAGCTCAAGAGTTCTGAGTTGTATAGTAGGCTAAGATAGATGGTCAGGTGTCTGGACTCATCCAGCACCAATGTGGTGAGCCCCTGGACGAACTGGCCCAGGTTGGAAATGGAGCAGGTCAAAAAGCTTCTGTGCTGGTCAGGGATGTGAGTGGCCACTGCACTACTACCCTGCTTGAGATACCCATTCTCCAGCAAAGAAAGGGGAAGAGGTAAAACTTCAGGGCAAACTATAGCAAGTAATTCTTTACATCTTTCAGGCAATTGTTAGATGGTAATCATGTGCTCTGTTGTTGAATATCATTTATCAAATGATGCATT